CCAATGCCAATATAAACCCCGAAATACCACAATCCTTATTATAGGGACCCCTAAAAAGGTACCCAACTTTTGAGAAACCCTAAACCTTAAACCTTAAACCCTTCACCCTAAACCCGGGGAAACACCCCTGTGGGAAAGTAAGGTAGACCTGCAGAGACCTTGTGCTCCAAAGAGGTGGGCTTGTAGGGGGCCCGAAAGCGCCAGGTTGTTTAGGGCTTGGGGTCTAGGGTATAGAGGTTTAGGGGTAAGGGGGTTTAGGGGTTGCAGGCTTAAGGTCAGGGGGGTTTAGGGGTTACAGGTTTAGGGTTAAGGTTCAGGGTGCGGTAGCAATTAGTGCAATAGCTAGCAGCTAGGCCCCGTTGTATCCTTTCTGAACAACCGAGGTCTTCCACCCCCCACTTTGTGGCGACATGGAACCAGTTGGAGCGGCGGAACCCCTGAACTCCAACGACTTTCCAGAGCTGGAAAGATCCTCTCAAAAGATTTTCTTCGCTTCGGCAATGATGTTGTGCGAAAATTGGCCGGACCATGCCGTCATACATGGTGTAGGCTCCGCCATATTGGTAGATCACTCCTTGTTAAATGCCCTAGCTGCGCTGGGCCACTGCAGTGAAATGCCTATTCATATACCCCTATGAAACACCCATATGTGTGTATATATATATATAAAACCAGCTGCAAGGAACCCTAAACCCAAGATCCAACTCTGCTATTTAGTGTGGAGGGTTCAGGTGATGGAGTAAACGCATACGTGAACCTTGAGGAGTGCGGTGTCAAGTGTGTACTTGGGGTCGTGGAGGATTTCATCTGTAAATTCAAGGCCGAATTGCGTTTCTTGCGTTCTGTATAGTCCGAGCACCTAGCAGGAGGATGCTTGCAATCGCCGTAATCCTCTCCCAATGATTAAGTTGCCCGCCCCCTATCCCTAACATATGTGACGCAATACATACCTGGAACCTTCATTGCAATCCTATTATGGGTTTAACTTCTACGTTAGTTCTGAACCCCCAAACCCTACGCTGTAAATCTACCCTAAACCCTACACTAAACCCAAAAGCCAAAACCCTAAACCCTAAACCATCTCAGGCTACGGTGCATGGCTGTGGCAGACATTTCAACCAGACCTCGAAGGAGGACCTGGGCCAAAGGGTGTTTAGGGAATTTAGGGTTCAGGGTTTCAGGTTTGGGGTTTAGGGCTGATGGTTTATGCCTTACGGGAGGGTCATGTGGACTTAGTAAGTGTACTTCTAACCCCTACGGTGGATATCAAAAATCCTGCACAACCCCAAGTACCGTATACCTTGTGAATTATGGTACTATGGTATATCATGCAGGGAGTTTTAGTATCAACAGTATAAGTCACATAGTAAACCAGGTTATCCCACTTATCAACATAGGCACGGAGTCCCCCAGAAGCTCCAAGTAAGGGCAGGACAGGTTACCCAACCTCTTTAGAACCTAAGCATACGGAGGTTTCTCAAAGTAATCCCCGAGAACTCCTAACAAGGATCACCAACATCCCCTCACAATATGCGTGTATTTCTGGGGTCCCCATGGGCTCCCTATTTTCCAAAGCTCATAGATAGTAATTGGGCTTTATCCAAAGGCTCCTAGGCAGCCTCTTAAGTTGTGGAGGTAAGGTGGTGTACTAGAAGCTCCTCAACCCCGAATGGTTTGGTACATTGACTCTTCCTGATACTATGACTTCTACGTTTACTCATTACTCTTCCTCATGAATTCTGTTAGTATGGTTGTCTGCACTTGTTCTCTTCAGGGCCTTGCTTTATGGTACTGAGGCTTAATTAGGGCCTCAGGGTCTGTGAAACTTTCGGCAGAGCCAGATGAGAAGTTTCAAGTCCGAGTCTCCTAGACCTACGTTGTACTACAGATACACAATATAATTATCCTAGCGATACCCCTGTCAGCCCCTTTTTGGGGGCCTAGAGGCCAGTCCTTTTTGAGCATTTACGAGGTCTAGGTTGAGGTTCATGGGGTCTCATCAAGACCATTGGTCTAGAGACCCTAGACATAGGGCTCGTAAAGCCTTCTACTGACGTTTTCTTGGAACGTCTTCTTATCTCTGAGGCCTTGAAAATGAATATACCGCAGGTATATAACTCTCAGAAGCGTGTGTACTGTAGCACCCGCAGCATTGTTTGGCAGAGTTCCACGGAACGATTTGCGGGGCCCCCGAATCCATAAAGTACACTCCTAAGCCCGGAAGCTCGAAACACTCTACCCCAAACCTCTCGTAATGCTGGTTGTTTGTGGCTTACCCTGGGGCCTAAGTTTATAAATAATACCTACATTGGGCCCTAAACCCTATAAATGGTACCCACATGGAGCCTTAAGGTTCGGTCCCCAGAAATCCAAGCCCTTGCAATCCATTGCCTTGTCTTCCTCAATGGTGAGGTCGTTGTGCAGGAGATCTACCCTAAGCCCTCAACCCTATGATAAATATAAGCCGAATCACAGCCTTTGCAATGGATATTTGCCTGAGATATCATGGAGCGGCTTAGGGTCTGTTTGAATTTGTAACATTTACTTGAATTTGTAACATTTACTGATCCTTGTTTGGCCGGTAGTCGAGTCCATTTCTAGGGCAAGCGAACAGTCGCCGATCTTTTGTAAGTAGAAGTCATAGGGGCAATCCCAGGTTACTCTGTTTGGATTGCTCAAGTTGGATGGAGTTTTGCAAAGCCGTCCCTAGATAGGAGTTCTCAAAACAATCCTTGAATCATCCCTGATAAGGACCCCTTTGAATCCCCTTGCCCTGTTGAGAAACTCCCATACAATTCCAGCAAGGACCATGCTTGGCTGATAATCCGTACATTTCTAGCGTTCAATTTTCCCAAGCCCTGAACGATCATCCGCAAAGTTTGAAGGATCTTCATGATAGGGACACCCAAACAAGGACCAAGACAAACTACACAGAAGTTCAGCAGTAGCCACTAAGTGTAGACCTTTGTTGAACAAACCCTCTCCCCTTGGTAGGGAATATAATGTGGATCCTACTATTGAGCCCTTCAAGAGGGAGGGGGGGCTTGTAAGTCAGGGGTCTACTGTAGACCAAAATCTCTTACCCCTAAACCTTAAACCCCAAACCCTGCATAGTTCTGAGCCCTAGACCCCATATCTGAAGTCAACCCCAAATTCAGGGTTTGGGATTTAGGTTTCGGGGTGTAGGTTTTAGGGCTCATAATCCCAAACCTAAGCTGCTAAACCATCCGACACCAGGTGCAGCCCTTTCTGGCTTCTAGTCAGCTTCTCTTTCGTTTGTCCTTTTCTTTGTTCCATAGAGCCCGTGGCAGCCGTCGAGCCAGAACCTCGGTCGAGGGGCTGTCAGGAAGGTTTATGTCAGTTCAGGTTTTTTGGGATTTAGGGTTATTTTGTGTAGGTATTGGGGTTTAGGGTTTAGGTTTCAGAGTTTAGGGTTAATTTATGTAGGTTTTAGGGTTTTGGGTTTAGGTTTCAGGTTTTAGGCATGATTTTTGTAGGTATTATATAGAGTTGGTTTTGGGGTTTACAGGGATTATACACGGGCTCTGACGGGATGTTCTGGAGATTCTGTGAAAGGCCACATGGGGAATGAATAGGGAATGTGGGTGGCGGAGAGAGGCATTCTAGAGGGATTATATGTAATTTTAGTGGGATTCGACAGGGCCTATGTACAGGTTATTGAAGGATTGCATAGAGGGTATAGAGGGCCAGATGTGTACAGGGATTGATGAACGGAGACCCAAATGGAAAGAACAATGGAGAAAGACATGGACTTTGGGAGTATACAGGCGTTAAGGACTTACTGCAGACTCCAAGAGACCTTGTCTGAGTCAATGACATGAGTCGAGGCTAGTAGCGGGTCATAGTCGTGAAGGCTTTTGGGCCGCAAGTTCAATAATGGTTCTTTCGCTCAGGATTTAGGGGTTAGGGTTTAAATATGGGGTTTGGGGTTGTTAGGGTTCGAGATGTTTATTTTTGTTTACCCCGGTGGGTAGTTCAGTCAGGACGGCGCTGAGGATGGAGATTCGAGGGTTGAGAAGAGCCGTTGCTAGGAGCCATGATTTATTTCCCGAAGCTATAGACCTAAACCTTAAAAGGATTGTAGTATATTGGGGCCCTCCTGAGGCCTAACACCTAAATCCAAAAACTAACACGGAACCTGATAAGGAGCCTTTTGACGAGTACCGGTCTGTTGAAGGGGCCTACATGGAGTCGCATGTTATCTTTGGGGAGGATACTTCTTCATGGCTTCCTACATGTTACTGTAAAGTGGAGGGCTTAGGGTTTACTGGATCAATTTTAGGGATCCTTTACATTTTTTGGTATGGGATTCCTTGTATTTATGTAAAAAGGATCCATTTTCTTCCTGGGGTAATGTGGGCTAAGTTTAGGGGCCTTGAAAGTTGTCGATTGATCATACAGGCTGTTGCTTTGGTACAAGCATGCCCTGAACCCTCATCAGCCCTAAACCCTAAATCCTACACCCTAAGCCCTAAATCCTAAAATCTGAACCTAAACCCTAATCCTTCGGTTTAGGGTTTAGGGCTTTGTCGTCCTGAGCCCTGGAGCCCTTTTGTATACCAGGCAACCCACATACACACATGGCAAATTCCCGGAATAATAGCTCAGGGCTCAGGGTTCAGGGTTTTGGTGGGTTTAGGGTTTAGGGTTTATTGAGGTTAGGGTAAGAGTTAGGGTTCAGAGATCAGAGAGCTTAATGTCTCTAGGGCTTAGTGTTTAGGATTCCAGGTTTAGGGTCAAGGGTTGCCGAGCCTTGTCACTCAGACCATCAATCACTGTGAAGATGTTCCAGACCCTGTGCCCAAACCTAAACCCCATATATGCCCTACGGTGGATACTAAAAATCCTGCATGACCCTAAGTACCCTAAACCTTGGGAATAATGGTACTATAGTATACTAAGGTCATGCAGGATTTTCAGTATCAACAGTAAGTCTCAGCACTAAGCCCTAAGGCCTAACCCCTGAAAAATATGCAAGGATGTTCCTGATCACCTACATGGAGGGCTTGTCGTTTGGCATGCTGGCCTATGACGCGTCGCAGGCAGCATGGTGGAAGGGTTTTAGGGTTTAGGGTTTTAGGGTTTAGGGTTTAGGGGTTGAGGGTTTGGGGTTTAGGGTTTTAGGGTTAGGGTTTTTAGAGTTTAGGGGTTTAGGGTTTGGGGTTGTGTCTTTGAGTTGCGGGCTTTTCCGTTTTAACGTACCTTTCGACTAGAACTCCGAGTGTCGCCTCATTGTCAGCTTATTGTTCTTTAGATGTTCTTCGTCTAGGTACCCCAGTAGTACCCTTTTACCCTTTTTATTTGGGAGTCTCCTCATTAAAACAGAACAGTAGGAAAAAGGGTGCCCTTCTTATTTGGGGTTTACTGGGGAACCTAGTTGTAGTTGCAAATACTAGAAATCTGTTAGTAGGTCTGTCATGAGCTTTGCTAGAAGAGGCTTTGGCTATGGCGGCTACGGATTGGGCTCTCAAACCCAAATTTCTGAACCCAACCTAAACTCCTGATTGCAGCCCCCCAATCACCTACAGTTTTATAGGCTATACCTATGAATTAGAGGCAATTCTGAGTCAGCTGTACTGTAGGTACTGGGGGTCACAGGTAGCCCTTACACCCTCAGCCCTACATCCTAAACCTTGATCTCCATGAACACGGAAACGATTGTTGAAAGGGTCCAAGGGTTTAAGCCCAAAACCTCAAACCCTAAACTCTAAACCCCTAAATGGTAGTTTCGGTCTTTTCCATTATCCCTATACTTCTGAAAACCCTAAGCCCTAAGGCCTGAATCCATTAACTAGAACCCTTTCAAGGGGATATCGCGGTTACACACTAAATTTAGGTTGGGGGCACCTGTAGGGTTCTAATTAGGGTTTCAGGGGATACCTATTAAGGGGTATACCACAAATTTAGTCCAGGGCTCATATACGGGTATATAGGGCTTATGCAGGATTTAGGGTTTAGGGTTTACGGCTTCCCAAAATTGGGGCTAGCTTAATTTTTGGGGTCCCTCTTATAGGGATTGTAAGCCCGAAGCCCAGCAGGGCCGCGCCAAGCACATTTCGACACAGACCATTGTGGCATTGACGCGCCTTGGTGTCGAGCTTGTTAATCTTGGGTTTCAGGGTTTAGGGTTTAGGGAGGTCTGTTGATGAAACAGTGGGAGTCTCCAAAAAAGGGGGGGGGGTAACATTGTAGAGGTCCCCATAAATGAAGAAAGTTGAGACACATTGACGGTTTTAGTTTTCAATGGAAACTACCAGGTTGAGAACTCTGCACATGATGGCAAATACTGAACAGAATTGAAGATCTTCTAATTGTGGCGCTTCGACAACATGCCAGTCCAGAGGTTCAAACCCTCAACCCTAAATCCTACACTCCTTGCATCAAGGATTTTTGAGGAGGTACAGGACGAAAACCTTGTTGTTTGCCATGTGAAGTTATGTTATGGCTTTTTGGTCTTTGTGGGCTTTGGGGGTCTGATTCGGGCTCCTTGTTGTCGCAACACTGATTGTTCGTGTGAGGCGGACCTGAAAATCCCTGTAAGCCTTGAAATAATTACCCTGAACGGGAGCCTACTCTAAGATAGGCAGGGAGAAGCCCAAGCTATGACCAGAACAGATGGCAGTTTAAAGCTGCTAGTATAGACAGCTCCAGCATTTCATAACATACCCTAGCAGATTCTGAGAACCGCAGACCTTCTCTCCCAAGGCCTTACATCATGCGTAAGGATTCCCTTTGGTTATATAGCTGGGAATGAAGGAAGGCAGAAGAACATGGAAACCACTGTAACGGGTTATATAGGGACCACAGAAAGGATCCTTTCCTCCATTGCCAGCTAACCAGAGGCCAGAAGGATGCCGAACTCTATCTTTCAGGAGTTTAGGGTTCAGGGCTTAGGGCCTACAACCTACATCTTCTGCATCTTGATCCATTCCCAGAACCCTATAAACCATAAACCCCTAAGCCCTGAATCTTTGAATCCTAACCCTAAGCCCTACCCATAAGCAGTAAACCCTAAACCCTAAGCCTTAAACCCAAGCGTCATCCCAGGATCTCCCTGGCGCTCTCCGCACTGAATTTGCCAAGGGCTTGGGCCAGCTGCCCGACTTGCAAAGCCATGGTACATATATATATATATATGTATATACATATGTATATAGTCATGTATGATCGTGTATATGGGGGCTTGGAGGTTTAGGGTTCAGGGCTTAGAGTTTAGGGTTTTAGGGCTTAGGGTTTAGGGCTACAGGTCTAGGGTTTACGGCTTAGGCTTTAGGGCTTCGAGTTTAGGGCTTAGGTTTAGGGCTGAGGACTGAGGGCTCAGGGCTTGGGGTGGAAGTCTGAACACTCAGGAACAGAGCTTAGGTCGAAGGTGCGTTGCGCTCTCGGGTTTAAAGGGGGTTCAGGGTTTGCAGTTAAGGCATAGAAGTATGTCAGGCTAGATCCTTAAAGCCTGTCCTACTGTAATTGTCCCAGTAGGATATAATCCTATAATATAGTAGTTTCCATTTTATTTTCCATTATCCTAAGATAACCGCTATATATTCTGTAGGCCTTTCCAGCCTTGCTGCTCCCCCCTCGTTGCCCTCCCGAGTAGCATCAATTACCTTAAGTCATCCCTAGACAATCCTTATATGACCCTATGGTTAAGGGAGCCCGCAGTATTTGGGTGAGGTGTCCCATATCTTCAGATCTACATGGGAAGTGACAAGTGGCAGAAGGGATGGGATAGGTCTCTAGCTAGAGAATTGCAAGTTCGCTGCTCCCCAGGGAGTAGCGACAGCAGCACCAGGCCGGCCCGCAACAAAAAAAAAGAAGCGGAAACTCTGCCGAACCAACAGCCCGCCAGAAGCAACAAGCCCAGCCTACAGGGACCCGGCGGAAAAGGAGAAGGCGGCTCTCGACAAGGAGGTCGTGGTGCCTGTGCCGGCGCCGGGTGCCGCGCCAGCCGAGGAGAAGGCTGCGGGCGCCCTGAGCGAGGAGGAGAACAAGGACGGAGCACTCTTCCGCTGCAGCCGACCTACCCAAAGCCTAAACTAGCTCCGCCTTTTCCCAACCCCAAACCCTGAACCCTAAACGTGAAACCCTAAACCCTCTTTGAACCCGAAACCTCGAACCCTAAACCCGAAACCCTGAACCCCCAATCCTAAACCTTACCAGACTCCTGAACACCAAAACTTCGGAATCCTGGCCGAAGGCTTCCCCCACCAGCAAAAATTGTTTTCCTATACTCCCTCCATCTATCTATCTATCCATCTATCCATCTATCTATCTGTCTATCCATCTATCTATCTGTCTATCTATCTATCTATCTATAGGGTTTAGGGTTCAAGGCTCTCTCTGTGGGTGCATGTGGCTTGTCTGGAATACAGGGGTATACGGGAGAATCAAATGGAAAGGCAAATGGAAAATACATGGAGCCTGGATTTTTCTAGGGATTACAAGGATGATGTACATAAAGCTTTAGGGTTTAGGGGTCTAGGGGTTTAGGGGTTTAGGGTTTAGGGTTTAGGGGTTTAGGGTTTAGGGTTTAGTGGTTTAAGGTTTAGGGTTTAGGGTTCCGCGCGAGCCCACCCGTAAGGTAAGCCAAAGAGCCCTGCACTTTGGTCGCAGAGACCCAGACAAAAGGTACCCTAAGAGTCCAAGTACCTGATCATCACATACTTACCCAAAACCTGTACTATAATTACTATTACCCAGCACCGAATTACTTAATCATTGGGTACATGGACCCTTTGGGGTAGTTTCTTGAAATCACCAGTTTGTGGCGTGCGGCTGGGGAAGACGCGGTTAAAAAGGCAGTTCTCCAGAGCACCCGGCCCTTTGTGTGGTGCTGACCCTCTGGAAGGAAGCCCCTTTTGGGTTTGGCAACAGGGCCGCAGTGCTCATACACCCTGTGTCCTAAACCAAAACATTCTTGATCACTATAGGCCCCAAGCCCTGCACCCAAAGCCTAGATCCTAAAGCTGTTAAAGGAGTAGTATTCAATTTGGGGAAACTATGGTACCCAATATAGAGTAAGATTATATCCTCCTGTTGGGTTATAGTATTTTATATAAGGAATATAATCTTACTGGGTTTAACCACCAAAGAAACAGTACGCAAATGAAGCAAACATGCAGCTGAGGCAAGGTGCATAAGTTGATCGTCGTCACGGGCCCCAGGGGCGAGACAAACAGGATTTCGGGGCTTCGGGTTGAGAGTTTGTCTGGGGTTTCTTTGTAGGCCCCTGAAATATTTAATATTTTCCCTAATGGCTTTAATAAGGGACCCTATATACTATCATTTTTCAGGGGGTTTTAGGGGCCAACCCAGGTTTTAGGCTTCAGGGTTAGGGGTTCAGGGCTTTGGCTTGAGGTCTTGAACTGAAGCGTTTCGGGTGGAGGGTGTGGGGCCGAGGGCTCATTCCGGGGCTCTACGCTTTATAAGTACTACCTACATTGGGCCCTAAACCCTATGAATAAGACCTACATTGGGCCTTAAACACTGTAAATAATTTGTATGAATGAAAGGGACCCCTGAAAAGGTAGCTCTAATTCTTCACGGCACCAGCCCCTCTGCGGCTCATTCCCCCATTCCCAAAGGGCCCATGTACCCAATAATTAGGTACATGGGTTTTGGGTAACAGCAATCGGAGTACAGGTTTTGGGTAAGTGTATGATTATTAGGTGCTTGGACCCTTCGGGGTTTTATGGGGGCTCCACAATCCCACATTTCCACGAGCTGTGGGGGATATCTGTACGAGCTATGGAGGATGTTTGAACATCATTGGTCTCCTGCTTGTGAATCCTTTTTGGAAGGACATTGTCAGAATGAGTCATAAATGTTTGACCCGGCCATCCGTTTATAATTCCTCCTATCCATAGGGCCCCTTACGACCCTTTTTTCTCCTGAGGACTCCCCCCAAAGTTCATTAAACCGCTACCCCTTCAATCACACTTGCCCCAGAAAGTTTCAACGTGCATCCAACAGACTTCCCTCGGTTCGGGCGCAAGCATTCCCAGAGGGTTCAAGTACCCAAAATTTAGGTACTTGGGTTTAGGGGAATAGTAGTTACAGTACAGGTTTTGGGTATGTATATGATTATTAGGTATTTGGACCCTCCGGGATTTGCCTAAACCCTCCTCATACGGTTTAGGGTTGAGCCCTAAGCCCTGCACCTTGGACTTTAAATCCCGAATCCTAAGCCCTAAAGCCTACCTGGACCCAAAAGTATGTAAAATAATGGCCTTTATGGCTATTCTTAGGGGTTTAGGGCTATTATTTTACATACTCTTGGGGTTTAGGTAATCCTTAAGCCCTATTCGATCCCTAGACCCTAAATCCTAAACCCAGAAGCCCAAACTCTGCTGAGGTCTTTGTGGGCTGCTGCTTGGGCAGTGCAGCCTGCTGGCAGGTTGCGCGTCTAGGGGTTTTAGGTCTTTGGGAATACATTTCGTTTTGGGTTTAGGACTTTCAGGTCAGGATTTAGGATGTAGGGTTCAAGGTTTCGGGATCAGGGTTAGGGTTTCGGGATTAGGGTTTAGGGTTCAGGGATTAAGGGTTAGGGTTTTGTTTTTGGCCGCGGGTTGGGTCCAAGTACTGAACTGAATAAATGCGTATTCGGAACTTTAGTAATAGGACTCGCTATATAGGTTTTGGGATGGATATCAGTATTGGGTGCGTGGACTCTTGGGCCATAAGTAGTTTAGGCTTGAAGGCTCAGAAGTGTTCGGGCTTATCGATTTCAAAGTGGTGGGGACATCACGGTTTGAGGTCTACCCTACAGCCTCTTGAAACCCCTGAATCAAAATGCGCTTGTAGCATTGTAGTGCCAATCGCTGCAGAATCTCCATGTGTCAGTAGGGTTCCGAAGGCTTCTTTTAGGGTTTTATGAGGTTCATACAGTTTATTCAGAACCTCCCCACCATATGGGGCTTTCCCAAGCTTAGGGGTACATTTTTGCGGGTCCCACTTTAATCAGGATTATAGTATTTGGTGGTTTGCACTGGATCTTGTTTGTTTTGGGAAACTACCCCTTCGGGACTAATTAGACAAGAGCAGTATGGTGCTGACATAGATCTTCAGCAAATGCGATTCTCTTTCACAACTGCCCTCGACCTTAAGCCTAATTCCAAACCCCGAACTGATAAGAAGGGGTTTTTGGTTGCCTCAACCCCTAACAACGCGCAATCTCAGCGCCGAGCAGAGTGTAATGTCTGGTGCAGAAATTGTCAACGAATACGATAGGATTAAATATGGTGGGGGGAGTCATCACATTCAATTGGGGGGTCAAGATGGGACCCAAGATGTTACGTAGGTTGAAAGCCTCCATACCAACACCCGTAGTAAAGACCCCTCCCAATACGCGTCTGCTTTGTCGAGATGTTTGGGTACTCGGTGGGTTAATATGGAGATAGTCATGTTGTTATGTGGTGTTTCGGGGTTGGGTTATGAGCGTATTTCCACTTCACCCTGCAAGTATGGGTCCTTAAAGATTCCCAAACTGTTCAACCCTCGTTCATTTCCTTGAGAGCCACAGAGGATGATTCTCCATTCGCCCCGTTCGAGTAATTCTGGGCTAGCCTCACTGATAGGTTAAGCGGGGAACTACTATTGAACTGCAGGTAACTGAGGTTACGGGTAGTCCTTAAAACTTAGCCTATAACCCGAAACCACCAAAACGTAAACCCCTAAACCCTAAAACCCTAAACACTGAATCCCAAACCCCCACCCTAAACCCTAGAACCCTAAACCCCAAGCCCTTAATACTTAACTCTAAAACCTTAAACCCTAAAACCCTAAACCCGAAAACCCTAAACCCTAAACGCCTAAACCTTAAACCCGAGTAAAAATCCCAAACCGCCAAAGCATCCAACCGGTCCGACCCTGCTGTGCAGGTTGCCAAAGACAGCCAAGCAGATGGCGAGGACCGGCCCTGTGTCACCCATGGGGGGTAATGGAATTTGACAGTTTTCCAAAGTTAGGGGTCCCTTCTGCAGGTTCCTATAATAAGGATTATAGCAATTTGGGGTCTATATGGGGTACCTTTACTTAGGGAAACTACCATTTAGGGTTTAGGGTTTAGGGAAACTACTAATTTAGTTTAGGGTTTAGAGTCTAGGAGCTATATTAGGGTTATATTGGGGGTATATTTGGAGAATGGAAAAATTGGAAACTACTATCATATTACGCTTATATTGGGCTGATGGAGAATGAAATGGAAACTACCATAATATGAGGGTTATATTGGGTTTGTATTGGGATAATGGAAGATAGCATGGAAACTACTAGAATACAAGGGTTATATTGAGGTTCTATTGGGATAATGGAAAGTAAATTGGAAACAGCTATTTAGGGTTTGGGATTTAGGGATTTTCGGATTAGGTTCCCTTGTGTGTGTAGAGTTTAGGGATCAGGGTTTGGAGATTTGCGTTTAAGGTTTAGGGATTAGGGTTTGGGGATCTGGGTTTAGGGTTTGGGGATTAGGGTTTGTGGATTTGGGCTTAGGGATTAGGCTTTAGGGCTTTGGTATTAAGGTTTAGGATTTAGGGCTTAGAGCCCTAGAACTATTGTAACTCAGGCTACCGATAACCTGGGACGGTGCATCTCTCACCACTACGTACCATCCGCGTGTGCTGGTTCTTTTCTTGCACGCGTGCTTACGCTCGCTTTCTCATTTCCTGCGCAATCTTTTTGGCAAATGTCCAATGTCCATGCACCCTCCCGGAAACTAGAAGGGAAACCCAAAAGGGACCCCATAAAGACTACAGTCCCTTTAAAAAGTGAGCTAGTTGTGTTTCCATGTCACTTTGGGGGAGTGTAGCTTCTTGAGTCGGAAGACAGTACTGCAGGACTTCGGATTTCAAAAAGAGCCAGATGGCCCTAAACCCTAAATCCTAGACCCTAAACCTTAGACCCTAAACCCTAAATCCTAAACCCTATTTCGAATGATCCTTCAGGTTGGCTTTTTGTCCTTTAGGGTTTAGTTTAGGGTTCAAGGTTGAGGGAATTCCCATGTGAGGCAAATTCTATGTAAGAGTCCTAGTGTACGACTGTTATCGGCTTAGGGGCCTAACCTGAATCATGTTTTAAGGGACAAAGGATGAAACATCAGCAGCCTATACCCTAAAGACTAAACCCTTCACGGCGTTCTGAGCACGAAGACTCGAACACAAGCTTCTTACAGCAGTGCAAGCCCCAACCCTTCCAAGCCCTAAACCCAACTTCGCCCCCCTTTAACCCCTGAACACTTCCGCACATTGCAGGACGATCTTCGGGTGCCAGGGGTGCCGCAGCGACACAGCAAAGCAGCGCTTGGGCTGCAGTTCGTCAAGGGGCCGCAGTCTTCAATCCTATCCTTACACACCAAGACTGGGCACCAGACCTTGGAGTCCTCCTTTCAGTTTTCGAAGGTATAGTATCCTCTTCTAGCAGTCGCGGGCGTACCAAGCACCCTCGCCGAAAACTGCTAAAATTTTACAAAACACCATTATTGCAGACTCACTGGAAAACCTTGGCCCCTGCGCCAACGTTCATTTGAGGGAAGATCTATGGTCAAGACTTTGAAGTCCCTGCCCCATAAACTCCCCGGCGCCCCGCTGATGATAACTCCCGCCCCATGCACACAATAGGGTACTCTTCTAATTCTAATGATAAACCCCCCCGGCCCCGCACAGCAGGGTACCATTACGTGCGAGGAATACTTATGATTCAGTAGGGTGGTGGTGGGGGGGGGTAGTACATTATTACCGTGAGGGTTCAAGTACCTAATAATCATATACGTACCCAAAACCTGTAGTGCAATTACTATTTCCCTACACCCACGCACGGGTTAGGGAAGGTGATTAGGATGACCTGCCTGGGGTTGCGACGTTGTTTTGGCGCATTGAAGTGGATGTTTACCCTCGATTAGGGGTCCCCTGGTTGGAAGCCCTTGTAATGAAGATTATAGGGTTCAGGGTTTAGATTCTAGATGTGTGTGGCTTGGGCATGTGGAAACTCGTAATAGGGGCTTTCGTCTGTTCGGAGGAAGCTCCAAAAATGATAGATGAATGCATTGCGCTGGTTGGTTGGCCGGAGACCTTTGCACTGCATATGCAACGCTCTGAATGAAAGTGAAGCCGCAGACTTGCAACTCTGAACCTTTCCGTGGATGGTTCTGAGGTAGGCTTTATCGAGGTATCGCAACGCTTATATCCCAATTCCCACACCTTGTTGTTCGTTTCAGTTCATGATGCTATACAGGATGATGCAAGATTTCCTGCATCCATTGTAGTACCTTTCCGAAAACTGAAAGCGGTAAATCATAAGCCATATGGCCCCGCTAAAAAGCCGGCAGACTGTGTAGGGTAGCAGGGCCCCTCTTCGTGAGTGTATATACTTGTGTCCACCTTGGAGGATCATGAATTCAAGCTAAATCATCTAGGTCGACACTGTACAATGCAGGTTATCTATGTGGGCGCTGTGGTGATGGGAGTTCTGTCCCTTTTGATCTCCTGCCGTGACCTGGCGCTAAAGTGCTCCTTTCCGCACTTTGTTAGAAATGGTCCGAGGATCCGAGTGAGTTGGGGAATTGATGAGGGTTGATCTGAGCCATGATCACAGCTCCTTAAGGGGGATCCTAGAGGGAATTATATAGGGGACTACAAAAAAGGGCTAGGAGTTTAGACTGTAGCTCATCTGGGTTTGAGAGCCTCAGGAAGAAAGCATTAGATTGCGGACACAAAGCCCTCAGGGTCCAAGTACCAAGTAATCATACTTCCCCAAAAGATCTGTGCTACATTCTGTCTCGACAAAATCTCAGTGTTGCATCGTCTGGACGCTTCAGGTAGTTAAATCCTAAACCCAAACCCCTAAACCCCTAGACCCTAAACCCCTAAACCCTAAACCCCTAAGCCCCTAAACCCCTAAACCCTAAGCCCTGTTCACCGCCAACCGAGTACTCACCTCGTGGGGTTCGCAAACGCACCCATGTGTTTTTTGGGTTTAGGGTTTAGGGTTCCATGACCCAAGGTTTAGGGTTTAGGGGTTTAGTGTTTAGGGGGTTAGGGTTTTAGGGCTGCATTCCCTGTATAGCTTGGTATAGGGTATCTTAAATAGACAGCAACATGATTTTGGTACTCATTGTGCCCCTGAAGTAACCGTGGGGCTTCCCTTCCAGAAAGTCTTTTGAGATCAGCGATCGCCTGGCCAAGTATAGTTGTGAATATATTTGGCCATCATGGTCAACCAAAACCTTACACCCCGAACCCTAATCAAACGAAGACAGGCAGGCAGAGCTTCAAAACTTTCACAGGTTTTGCAGATAGCTGTCCAAAAGTCAGGGATCCCATTCATTTTCGGGGTGCTTAGTAAACGGATTGCAGTATTTAATGCAAACATAGGGGGGGACCTGTGCAATCACCTTCATATGTCCCCGGGTTCTAAGGTTATCACTTGTAAAAAGCGCCAGAGGGAATTGGCATGAGGGGTAAACAGGGGCTTAAACAAGGCTGTTTCTCCCCTTCAGACCCTCCATTGGACCCCCAAGTGCAAGTAGACTCCCTAAACCCTTAACCCTAAACTAAGCCCTGGACCGTATACATCTCTACTGTACATACTTGGGAGGTTGTGTAGAAGAGAGTGAGGTAGGTCACCAAGTACTCCCCACTGCTCGCCAGTCCTCCCCACGGCTCCCCGTGGTTCCTCAGAAACCCCATAGTCCCCTTTAAGAAACCCTATAGGGTTTAGGGTTTAGGGTATGGTCCCCCTTCAGTAGATAGAATATGGCTTTGGGTATATTAGAATGAGATTCCCATATACTACCTCACATTCAGTCTACTTGAGGGGACCATAAACAATGAACGCTAAGGCTTAGACCCAGCCCCCTTAAGGGCCTGGGAATATCGAGTCGTAGTCCGAAAATAGTAACAAACCTAAACCCTGAACAAAAACCTCGAACCCTAAACCCAAAAATCACAACAACCTCTTAACCCTGAACCTTATATCCCAAAATGCTAGCAACCCCTCAACAGCCTGGTAAATCCCTAAACCCTAAACCCTATATACCCCCATACATATCCCCTTAAAGGGACCCCTAAACCCTAAACCCTAAACCCTATATACCCCGATATACCCCGATATATCCCTTTAAAGGGACCCTTTGAAAAGTACTGGCAGGCTTCTCACCCGCTGAGCTCGGCAACTTTGTGTCTCACGACATCCAGAGCCCAGCCGGGATCCCAATGTTTGAGGGTTACTTAAAGGGTCCAAACACACCCAATAATGAGGATCCCCTTTAGAGGGATAATACAGGGATATATAGGGTTCAGGGTTTACGGTTTAGGGTCCATGTACCCAATAAGTAGGTAATTGGGTTTTGGGTAATAGTAATTTTAGTACATGTTTTGGGTAAGTATATGATGATTAGGTATTTGGACCCTTAGGGTTATATAGGGGTACATAGGGGTATACAAGAGTTATATAGGGATAATGGAAAGAAAATGGAAGCTACTATTTAGGGGTTAAGGGGTTGAGGGGTTTAGGGTTTAGGGCTTTGGGGGTTTAGGGGTTAAGATTCAGGGTTAGGAGATGACGGTTTTTTGGCTCTAGGGCTTAAGAGTTTGGGATTCAGGGTTAGGATGAAGGTTTTTTGGCTTCAGGGGTTAAGGGTTTAGGGTATTGGGGCTTAGGGTTCCGGGTCTAGGGTGTAGGGTTATAGGTTTTAGGTGTCAGGGTTTGGGGCTCGGGTGTGAGGGTTTAGGGTTTAGGGTTTGGACGTCCATGATGCGTATAAAAGGATTATATGAAGTAGATGTTATTTATGGTTCAGGTGGGTGTATTATTGAGGGTTCATGCGGAGTATCAGTGGCTGTAAGTATTGGGTGCCAATTTTTGTGGAGACATTCATTAAACAAGCATGGATTGCATAAAGATATATGTATATATATAAAGATATATGATGTTCCACGGGTCGTTTATGGGGATCTTATAAGGATATGTGAAAACAACCCTACATGGGCATCTATAAGATTTAGGTGAGGGGGCGTTTTAACGTGATTGTGTAGGGGTGAGAGAGAGAGAGAGAGAGGACAAAGAGAAAGATAAAGAACGATATATATATATATACATACACATATGTATATATATATATACATATATGTATACATATTTGTATTGGGTCCATGCGTACTTTAAATGGCTCCTGTCAGGATTTTTATACTGAGATTATGCAGGGATATATGAGGCTTAGGTTCATGGGTCCTTGCGAGGTGTTATAGACGGACCTGTAGGGTTTTGGGGTTTGTGTCCTTTACAGCGGTTATGTAGGGAATGTAGGGATATCCGCCATTCAGGGTTCAGGTCCTGGAAGGTGAGTTTACAGGGATACGTGGAGGGTCATGGGGACTTAATAAGTAGGTTAATAGTTAGGATGCCAAGGTTTACTATATGGCTTCTAGGGGTTATAAACCTGCTTACTAAGTCCCCCTGACCCTCCAAGGTTTACAGCACGTTGAGGTCCATTGGCGCGTATGAGAGAGTTGTAACCCTAAACCCTAAACCGCTGTAATCCAGGCAGAAACAGACTTTGGGACTCCGGGGCCTATGGTTGTTTTATGCATGCAGCTATATGTAGGTTATAGCTTATAACTGCTCTGCACCTCAATGTAAATAGAATGTAGGGCACTGTGGGCGTTTTGCAGTGGCTTGCCCCCAGGTGCTCTGAGATAGATCCCTCATATCTGTCGATCATGGGCACAAAGGGGAGGGCATCTGAATCTTGCTGAGAATCTGGCGCAGTGCACGCTCTAACTACCCCATCTTTGAGCATTCAATTCTGATCAACAGCGAGTATAGGGTTTCGGGTTCATTCAGGGGTTGAGGTGATAAAGTCTGGACGGCCCAAGAGCAAAGTTCTGGTCTGGTCTTTGCCTGCTACCTGAGGCTTTCGCTAAAAAGTAATTTCGGATCAATGCGCAGTGTTTTCAAGTTCATAGAGGACCTACACTTCGTTCTGTCAGGCAATATCAGCAACACCACGAATATTCGTGATGATAGTAATAGCAGGCATAATAGTAATGTAAAGAATGATAGCAATAATACTGACTTTAGTAATATGAGTAGGTATCGTAATAAAGGTAATGACAGTACCCATAGTAATAACTGCAATAAGCGCGATAGTTGTAGGAATACTTTTGATGGTAATCATGGTAGCAACAGAAGCTTTAGCAATTATAGCGATAATGGTAATCATTGTAATATTTGTAGTTATAGCAATAATTCATGGCAATACTAGTAATTTCAGTAATGCGGGAAATACCGGTAGTAATTGTCCCAATAGCAGTTCTAGTAACAAAAGTAATAACGAGGGTATAGGCCCCTAAACTTCAAACCCTAAACCCTAAGCCCTACACCCTAAACCCTGAACCCTAAACCCTAAACCAAGTACAGGCTTCAGGGCCGGGGGCCTGGCGTGCTTGTGATTATTATTGTGGCTCTAGCATACTTTAGGGCTCCCAATTATCTAAATGGTAGGCTGCTCCTGTCGCTCCTTCTGTCTTTTCATCTCGCCGAATCACTTCATGTTGCCCCTCGTGAGGGTTCTGTGAGAATCCCACTCCCTACATGAGTATTTTAGTCGGGAGACAATAAATCCCAAAACATAGGAGAAGGTTCAGGGTTCAGGGTTTGGGGTATATCCTCCGTTGGAATTACAGCACTTTATTGCAAGAACATAATCTTACTGGGTGCACTCATCAAACAAGCCCTACTGACATCGGAAGTCTCTGACTACCCGGTCCTTATTGTCAGCGGGTGGGGACTGCGGCTCCCATCCCTGTTATTCTTCCTGATTGATTCTTGCTGCATGGTCCTGAATTTGAACCAAAGGTTTGCTGTTAAGTGAGGGAGCGGTCCCTTTAGGTTGAAGGTGTAGGCAGGGTTGTTGTAGCCCCAAAAGCAGTGTGACAGTCTTTCACAGAGTCCATGCCCCTTCCCTAGGCCGTTCTCTGGTTTCCAATCCCTACAGGCCTGCTGCTGGTGAACCCCAAGAGAAGCATAAACCCACACAACCCTGCACCCGTATTTGATCATGAATTCAACTACAGGTGGCTCATGAGCCTCAAGCAGCAGAGTTCCAAAGACTGCAAATTCCATTTAATCCCAAAACCAGCTAGAACTATTGAATGTAACTTAGTGTAACGCCTGCGTTGTGCACTTGCAGCCTGCATTTGCTAGGGTAGACTTTCTGAAGCGAAGATCCCAGGTTGACATGTGCCAAAAAAGGAAAAATTAGAGCCTAAATCCCAGAATCTGAGCGCTAAGAATTAAACCCTTAACCTTGAACCCTAAACTCTTTCCCCTAAAGCACAAAGGCCCTAACCCCCCCAAGGCCCCCATATTTTGGACAGTCTCCCGAAGCAAATTTTCTTTTCTAGGCACCCTCGGATTTGGATCCGTAAGCCTCGGGATTTAGAGACCCAGGGCCCCAGGGTTACACGCCTTAAGGCTACAACCTTAAGGTCCAAAACATACACCCTTAAGGGTGCAAACTTAAAGTCCTGAAGACACAATCCTTGACTAAGGGTGCAAACTTCAAATCTTTGACTCCCAGGTCTGCACATTCCAGAACTTTTTGCACGCCTTTGCCTTGCTACCGCAACTGGTTCTCTGTAGGCGGGGCTTCCTTGGTCTGTAGGTTCGCCGCAGGGATGAACCCAAGAAGTTATACTCAGATTATACTATAGGCTTGACCAACTGTTATGGGTCCTTCATGGGGATGGTCATTTGAAAAGGATTGCGGCACATTGCGAGTATAAGTGTAAAAGCGCGACCTCTTTTATGGAGGCCCCCATGTCCTACCCGTCAGGGCACAAGTATGAAACAACCATATCCATCCCGAAACCAGATTACATGTCCTTTTTCCAAAGTCCCCAGGTCCCGATACTTAGGTACTTGGACCCTCAAGTAAGGTCTCCAGGGACCACAATAACAGACAACACCATTGGTTTGTATCCTGCCTCCAAACGGGGGCATGTGCTGTATTTTTACGGTTCAGGTGGGCAGTGACATTGTGGGGATGAGGGTTGAGGTTATAGGTTCGGTACTGCCCCGACCCAGTAACAGTCTATATTAGGGGTCCTATTAAGGGCTATATATAACCATATTCTATTTATTATCCAACTGTTACTGGGTGGGGGCAGTACCCAAGTTTTAGGGAATATTTTTTGTTGGCAGCGAATGCTTGCACTACCTGCCTATAGACTTTCTATCTACTGCACTTCCCGGGCTTTGCTGCAGGCAGGGTGGAGGACGCCGTTCATACTCGTAGTAAGCCCCATGGAATGAGGTAAAGTGCTTGCTGAGGACTTGCTGTTCAATAGTTTTGGGTTTAGGTCTTGGCCGCAGCGACTGTGCTAGGTTGATATGGAAGTTTCTCACCATTTCCAGTTACAGGAGCCATTGAATATTAGTGACTGGCGAATATTCGGTGTCCAGTTTGAGGGGGCCTCATACATTCAGTTTTACCATGTACTTGGAGGGTCAGGCGGACTTGGTAATCAGGTTAATAACCCCTATAACCCATATAGTAACCCTAGTTGTCCTATCTATTAACCTACTTACTGAGTCCCCATGACCCTCCAAGTAATCCTTATGTTTTTCCCTACCGTCTCGGCCCCAGTATCTTGAGAAACCTCCATATCTTCAATCCAGTCATGAGCTTGAAACCCTAAACCCTAAACCTTATGCAGTTATCGGTATTATCTTATAGGGGGTTATATAGGGCTCAGGGTTTGGGGATAACCCTAAGCCCAAAAATACCTTATCCTTAACAAGCTTTCCTATCCTCACTACGAAGCTCCCATCCCGAAACAGGTCCTAAACCGGGAAAACTCTCATTACAAACGACTGGCCTAAATCCAACGCCATGAGCTTTGAATCTACGTGTCTCGCCCTTGGTATACACATATGATCTACAGTCTAAACTCCCAGTATCCCCTTTTTATAACCCCTATACTCATCCCCGGTATAACCCCAATATAACTACAGCTCATAAAAGTGTCATTCTATGTAGGGATGCTAACGTACCGAATATAGAGTAATATAGAGCCTTCCTTTCGAGTATAGTATTTTCATATACGGAGTATACTCCCGTATACAATTCCCTATATAACTATAGCTCATATGGGTACAATTCTATTTAGGGATGCTAATGTACCTGATACAAAGCCTCCTTCTCGGGTATCATATTTTCATGTACGGAGTAAAATCTTACAAGCTAGGTTCAACCAGCAATAAGGCAAACCATAAGTGTATATACATACATACAAATACATATATATAGATAGATAGATAGATAGATAGACAGATACAGGTATAGACATCTCGTTTTTCTACACAAGACGGTTCCGAATCTGAGAAACCCTTACGCTCGAAAGCTGCATGTGCTTCCCAAGTGATGAGGAGCCCTTGAATCCTTGCTAGTCCAACCCATGTATCCCTCAGCACGCCTCCCCCATCTTGCGAATCCCTTAAACCTAACACCTAAACACTAGACCCTAAAGCCTAAATCCAAAATCCTAAACCCTAATCCCTAAATCCTAAACCCTAAACCCTAGAGCCTAAAACCTAAACCCTGAATCCTAAAACCTAAATCCGAATCCCTAAGCTCTAAATCCTAAACCCTAAGCCCTAAATCCTAAACCCTACATCCGTTATCCCAGCAAGGCGCCAGGGCTTTGTGTCGCCCACGGGGGTGCGCTTCCTGTTCTTGCCGCTTGGGACAGTTGTGTGAGGGTTTGAATGGGTTTTAGGGTTTAGGGTCTAGGGTTTAGGGATTAGGGATTAGAGTTTAGAGTTTAGGGTTTAGGGTTTAGGGGGCCCTGAACCTCATTTGGCTTGGGTCCCAAAAATTAGGGAGTCGTGTTCGGGCTTCCCTATAGTAAGGATTAGAGTACTTGGGGGTCTACATTGGGGTCCCC